ATTTGGCGGGCTTATATACTAAAATAGAGGGTGCCAGGAAAAGACAAGAGTTGCCAGGAACAGTCATGATCCTTCTAGAAACTCATGATGTGTTACCAGCATCACGTGACTTCTGCTGTCGTAATACTATACTTATTACTAGATTGCAGAACTACAATTATTCAGAAAAATTCCTACGAGTCATTAATGTTAATGTTGGAGGAATACAAATGGATTTATACTAATCACTGAGTGAAAAATTTTAAAGACCTGCTTAGGACAAAGGTATGATAAATGAATGTGTGTGTGTGCTTCTACAATTGAGGGTTAGCGTGTCTGTATGTTCACTATCACATTAAAGATGCATACTACCTTTACACATGTAGTATAGGTACTAAAAAATATTTTCTTTCATTGGCTATTGTTAGGCTAACAGATTTATGCCAGTCAAAAAATGTAGATAACTGAATGGATAATATATAATGATCAGATTGACTGTCAATAAGCTCAGGGCTGCCATCTTATTTCAAATTCTCACCCAAATTAAAGCATAACAACTAAATCACGTTACTTCAGGAAGCAGCACAGAAATGTTCATTTGACAACTTCTGTTAAATAAATACATTATTTCCTAGTCAGATTAGGATACAAACATGACATGAACATGTAAAATCTATGATTCTCAGATACGTTGAAATTAGTGTATCCATTATTTTGATGAGTATGATCAACTGTGCACCCAAGTCCAAAATATGAAGCGAAAGCCTCAAAATCAAAAACCTAATAATTGTGTCTCTCTTGACACTTACTTACCTAAGAAAAAGAATTTACAAATGTTTGGCAATGTTATCTGAACACTTTCCATTTAATATAAAAATTAATCATTTCAAAGATGTGTTTTTTCTAATGCATGCTTTGCTGCTGTTCTCATAGACACAAGTGCTTGCTTTTAAATTAGGTTAAAATAAATGGCATTATAAAAATGTATACAAGATTTTGAAATCATTATATTTTTTCCTATCACAAACTATAGATTACTAATGCATATCAAAAACGCTTTCTGACAATGACTAGTCAGGATAGGGTTAAGAAGGAAATAATATGCAGGATTTGGACACACAATAATTAAAGAATATTACTAATGTTTTAATGCATGAAAAAAAGAAATTAAGCATGCCTCATTGTTCTTCATAACACTAAATTGGGTCTACTTACAAAATCTCAGATTGAAACTGTTTGGAGATTTAGCTGACCACAGACGCATGGTGTTAACAACATTATTACGGAAACCTGGAATAGGACTGTCATAAGGCATGGCAAACACAATCTGAAACAGTGAGTGAAATTAGTAAAAAAAAATAAAAAAATCCATACTTCTTTGTTATGTTTTGTTATGTTAAAAAAAAAAAACATTTAAATTCTTCACACTACCAATTAGTAAAGCAAGCAATGAAACATGTCACATATTACCTTCATCCTCAGCTGTCTGGTGCAGTCTAAGCTCCAATAGTAACTATACTTAAATTTAGAGTTGGACAATTCAATCAATTATCTGGGAGAAGTGATTACATCAATTATTGTCTCAAAATATGCAAGCTCCCACAGTCAGACTTGAAGGGTTTAATATTTGTAAGGTTAGTTTAAGCCATACTGCAGACTTGTAGCTATAAATACTCCATAATAGTTAATTTTGGTTGACCACGCTGTCCTATGGAATGTCTGCAAGACTGT